CCACATGCAGCTCCGCCGCCCAATACTCTTCGTAGCCCCGCAGAAACCTCCACCGAACGCCCCAGTGGCAAGGTCCACATGCGGCTCCAACACCCAATGCTACGTTTCACGGCCCCATAAGGAACTGAAGCTCCACCCAAAGCCCTAACAGCAGGGTCTACATTCAGATCCGACACCCGCTAAAGCACTTCGTGCCCCGTAAAGCCAATAGGGAGCTCCACTACAAGGTCCACATGCAAGGTCCACATGCGGCTCCGCCACCCAATACAACGTTCCGTGACCCCATAGGGCGCTCCATCCAAACCCCCATTGGCAAGATCCACATGCGGCTCCGCCACCCAGTACAACGTTCCGTGCCCCAGGCTCCACATGCGGCTCTCCCACCCAGTACAGCTCTTCGTGGCCCCACAGGGAGCTCCACCGAACGCCCCAGTGGCGCAGCCAGCATGCGTCTCCCGCACCTACAACGCTTCGTGGCCCCAGTGGGAGCACCGAAGTTCCAAATGGCGCAGCCCGCATACGTTTCCCTTGCCCAGTACGCTTCGTGGCCCCATCGGGCGCTCCACCTCAGCCCGCATGCGTCTCCCACAACATTCACTGCGGTTCGTGGCCACAAAGGAAGCTCCACCGAAGGTCCCGATGGCGCAGCTGGCATGCGCCTCCCCCACTCAGTACGCAGCTTCGTGGCCCAATAGAGGAGCTCCACCGAAGGTCCCAGCGGAGCAGCCCGCGTGCGTCTCCACCACTCACCAAGTGCAGCGGTTTGTGGCATCGTAGGGAGCTCCGCCGAAGGTCCATGTGGCGCAGCCCGCGTGCGTTTCCGCCACACAGAGCAACGCTTCTTGGCCCCATCCGAAGGGCAGAATCCACAGATGGATCCCCCACCGAGTACAGCGCTTCGTGGCCCCTTAGGCCCATAGGGAGCTCCACTGCAAGGCCTTGCAGGTTCCACATCCAGGGTCCACATGCGGCTCCGCCACCCAGTACAACTTATGTGGCCCTATCGGGCGCTGGTTCACATGTGGTTCCGCCACCCAGTGCGACTTCTCGTGGCCCCACAAGGAGCCCCCACGAAGGCCCCAGTGGCAGGGTCCACATGAGGCTCCCCGCGGAGTGCAGCGATCGCTTCATGCCCCCTCAGGGCGCTCCACCAAAAGCCCTAATAGCCGCGGGCACTTGCTTTCCCCAGCCCAGTACGGCAAACCCCGCGCTTCGCGGCCCCATAAGGAACTCCATTGGAAGCGGTGCCAACCACACGTTCCTCACAGATCATATGATTGGGCCCGTCGCCGGGATGGTTTTCCGAACCTCCTAACAATCCTATGGTGTTGGGTCCTAATTTTGAGGCGACACCGCCCCGCTTTCCTCCTCACCCCACCTCCTTTTCCCCCTCCTCCCTCCTCCCATCCCTGCCTCAATCCTCCGCATGTAAACCATTTCGGCACACCCCTCGCGCGATTCCAAGCCCCGTGGGGAACTCCACCGAAGGCTCCAGCGGCAGGGTCCACATGCGGTTCCCCGCCCACCGCATGTCCATCTCGGCACACACCCGTCACGCGTTCCGTGGTCCCATGAAGAGCCCCAACGAAGGCCACAGTGGCAGGATCCACATGCGGTTTCCCGCCCGCCGCATGTCCGTCCATGCACACCCCTCGAACGCTTCGTGGCCCCTTAAGGTACCCCACCCAAGGCCTCACTGGCAGAGCGCGCATGCGCCCCCCCCACACACACACACACACACACACACACACACACACACACACACACACACACACACACACACACACACACACACACACACACACACACACACACACACACACACACACACACACACACACACACACACACACACACACACACACACACACACACACACACACACAACACACACACACACACACACAGCACGCACGCACGCACGCACGCACGCACGCACGCACGCACGCACGCACACACACACACACACACACACTGCATGGCTATTTCGGCACACCGCTCATACGTTCCGAGGCCGCCCAAGAAGCCCCTCCGGAGGCCCCCCAATTGAGATGTCCACATGCGTTTCCCCGCCCACTGCGTGTCCATTTCGACGCACCCTTCACACGTTCCCCCGCACCGTAGGGGGCTCCACCGAAGGCTCTGGTGGCAAGGACCACATGCGGCTCCCCGCCAACTGAATGTCAATTTCGCAACACCCCTCACGCGCTACGTGGCCTCAGAAGGAGTTCCACTCAAGGACCCGAGGGCAAGGTCCACATGCGGTTCCCCGCCCACCGCAGGTCACTTCGGCACAACCCTCGCGCACTTCGTAGCCCATGGGGAGCTCCACCGATGGCCCCAATGGCAGGGTCCACATACGGCTCCCCAGCCATTTCGCCAGCCCGCTCGAACTTCGCCTTCTGTCGAAAGCCAATTTGTTTGGTCTCGCGCCACGGACGACCCGCGCGCGTCGCTGGAATTCTCTCGGGGTGACCAACGCGTGTCATGGGGACTCCTCTGCGCTCTGTCTCCAGGAACTGCCCGACTCCCAAACGGTCTGCCCAACGCCTGGCCCGCTGTCACCCGCCGACGTTTCTTTTGCTCTGTGCCGCGGACGACCCGCGCGGGTCTCCAGGATTCCTTCCGGGCAACTGGCGCGCGTCGCGGGGGTTCCGCGCAGCGCTCTGCCCAAGGGTGTGCAGTACAGAAACCCCAATAAAGTTCAACACGGCGGCGCCTGAGATTCGGGCCATTGCGGGCTCGGCGGGCAGGAACGCAACGCACAACGGAAACAAGCAGGGGGAAGGAAGACCTGGCGTGGAAATGGCCACGACAAGGCGGCGCCCGGGGCCCGCACGAAACCCAAACGCCCCCGTCCACAACGCAGACCTTCTGCTGGCCCCCACCAGCGCATCGGCAGCGCCGCGATACTCGCAAGTGCATATGACTGGGTTCGTTCGCTCGGAGACTCTGGAAAACTTCAGGATGTGTCAAGCGCGAGCCTCGTTTTGAGAATGAGCCGTCCTCCACTCCTGTTGCTGCCGCGAGTTTTCACGGTGAGTGCACGCGGCTCGAAAGCGCGAGCCCCAAAATTGAGAAGGAGCAGCCCTCCATCCTCGAAGTCGCTGCGCGAGTTCGAGCACTCGGCGCTGAGGCACGGGCCCACTGCTGGAGACCACTACCTTCACCACCCCCCCATAGATGTGGCCGCTGGAGAAAAATGTCCTGGCGAAGGACCCAACCATATGCAAGTGTGAGCACCGCAAGGCAGGCGGGACGAAGGAAGGGAGCCTCCCCCCCACGGGGCCACGGAACGTGTGAGGGTGTGCCGACATTGGCTGGGGGGCGCATTGTGGACACCGCCGCCAAAACCTTGCGTGGAGTTCCCCGGGGGCAAGCAGCGGATCGCTGTACTGGGTGGCGCGGACACAGCTTCGTATGGGGCCACGAAACGCTGCATTGGGTGGCGCGGACGCACGTGATCACAACCATTGGGGCCTTCGGAGGAACTCCCTATGGAGCCCCGGAACGCTATACTGGGTGGCGGGCACATGTGATCACAACCACTGAGGCTTTCGGTGGAGCTCCCTGTTGGGCCACGAAGCGCTGCATTGGAGAGCGCGGACGCATGCGATCACAGCCGCTGGGGCCTTCGGCGGAGCTCCCCGTAGGGCCACGAAGCGCTGTCCGGGGTGGCGCGTGCGCACGTGAGCACGGCCTCTGGGGCCTTCGATGGAGCTCCAGGTGGGGCCACGGATGGCTGCATCGGTTGGCGCGGACGCACGTGATCACAGCCAGTGGGGCCTTCGGTGGAGCTCCGTAATGGGGCCACCAATCGCTGTCATGGGTGGCGCGGACGCCTAAGCTCACAGCCACTGGGGCCGTCGGTGGGGGCCCCCCATGGGGCCACAAAGCGCTGTACTGGGTGGCGCGAACGCGTGTGATCGCAGCCCCTGGGGCCTTCGGTGGAGCTCCCGGCGGGGCCACGAAGCGCTGTACTGGGCGCGCTGAAATGGTGGACATGCGGAGGGCAGGGATGGTGAGGAGGGGCGAGGAGGAGAAAAGGAAGGAGGAACGCGGGGCGCGGTCTCTTCAACACAATGACTCAACACCACAGGATGGCGCGGACGAAACGTAGTGCGTGAGGCGTAAGGGCAACCCCCTTTCCATCCTTGTAGCTCTTCCAAACGTTCGAAACGACCGTACGCGGTACTGAGGCGAGAGCCGAAGGTTGAACAACACGTCCACATGCCCAAGCTTCACACCCATAGACGGCGGGGAAGTCTCAGACGAAACGCACGGCCCGCCCCACCGACACGTCTGCTCGGGCGACAGAAGGAACATCGATGGAGGAGGAGGAGGGAGGAGGGAGGAGCGGACAGTCTGAGCGGAAACGAGTCGTAACCGCAGGACTTACAAAGGGGAACGGGCGCACGGCACGCACGAGCCTGGAGGGAGGAGGGACGGGCAGGAGAAGAGGGGGGGAGGAGGTAGGATGATGAGGGAGGATCTAGGAGGAGTCTTTTGGCAGCAACCCCGAGGTGAGACTGAACGATGCAGGACTGCCAACCAAGCCTCTGCACTCTCCAAGTGCAGAGACTCTGCAGAGTTCACGCTGGTTTCGGAAAAGGTAGGGCGAAGAGGGAGGCCGAACAGAGAGGAAGAAGAGGAGGAGGATGATGAGGAGGAGGAGTTGGAGGACGCTGGAATGTGGGGGGAAGGACGAGGAGGGAAGGGGGGGGGCTTAGGAGGGGGACAGGGAGGAGGAAGAGGGAAAACTGGCAGGAGGGAGGAGAGGAGGGTGAACGAGGAGGAGGAGGAGGAGGAGGAGGAGGGCCAGTGCCAACCCGAGACGAGGAGGAGCACGACGAGCGAGAGCGACAGTGGGCAGGGGAGGGAGAAGCCGGGCGCGGTGCTGGGACGCCCGGCGGCGGGAGCCCGACGGCGGGCCGCCACGGCGATAGCCACGAGGAGGACAGCGCGGGACGCGGCGCGGGCGATGCCCGGCGTCGGGGCGCCTGAAGGTCGGCGACACCTTCTCCGGGTCGAGCTCCTGCGGCCCGGCTCGGCGCCCTCGCCCCTCATGCCTCCTCCTCCGCCTCCTCCTCCTCAGCCTCAGCCTCATCCTCCTCCTCCTCCTCCTCCTCCTCCTCCTCCGCCGGAGGCGACGCTGGGGGGGGCCCGGCGCGGATCCAAGGCCCAAAGTTTACGCTGATGGCGTTTTTGTTTCTTCTTCGGGCGGTCCTTTTGGCGGTGCGCACCAAGGGGATGGAGAGGGAGGGGTGAGGGCTTCGTAGACTCAGGAGGAGGCTGCTTCTTAGAAGCTGCTGGCCAGACCACCCCAACCCGACCCGAAGACCCGAATGTGACCCCGAATCTCGGGTTGGGGGGGGGGTACGGGTGCCACGTGCTTTCTCAACCTTCCCCGAATCCCCCCCCCCAACTGGAAAATGGAGGGCGACTTGAGGCCTTCGGGTTGGGTTGGGGTGGTTTGGTGGGTGGTGATCTTCCCTTCGTCCTCGTTTCCCTGCGGCACACCGCTTGGCGCCCGAGGCGGCGAGGCGTGGGAAGCAGTGCGCGCGTCCTGCGGGATGCCAGGGCCTCACGAGTCGCGTAGAAGTTCGCCAACGGAGGAGCACGAGGTGCCAGGGTGAAGGCGAGGACCCACGCGAACGCCCCTGGGCCGCCGAAGGAGGAGGGCGAGGGGGGGACGGGAGGAGGATCAGGGAGGAGGGGCAGAGCAACAAGTGCGGAGGAGGTCGAGGACTAGGTGGGAGTGGAAGGACGATGGCCGGAAGAGTAGGTCGACACAGGCAGAGGAGGGCGGACGCGGACGGCGAGTCTCCGGAGGGAGAGACGAGGAAGGGGAGGAGGTGGTCTGGGTCCAGTCCGAGTGGCACCCCGAGCGAGAGCACGTCCAGGAGTGATGCTGGGAGCACGGCTCGAGCCGGCCAGGTCGAGAGCCCCGCCCTTTCCCCCCCCCGAAGCGACAGCGCCGGTCGAGCCCAGCCTGCTGCACCGGGTGCGCGAGTCGAGCACCCTGGCCCGCCGCGAGCGGCTCGGCGGGAGAGCCACGGGGCCCCGCCCGCCCGTCCTCCCCCGCACCGCCCACTCCCCCCTCCGCAGGGTGGCAAGCGAGCCGCCGCGGCTGGGGAGCGGGACTGGCGCGCAGTCCCACCTGCTGGCCATCGCTCGGGCGTCCATTCCCTGTGCCGTTGTCGGTTTCGTGCGTGGCTCTTTCGCCAAATGATCAAGGATGCTCCTCGATGGTCCTCGCCGAAGGAAGAATGCACACGTCCGAGCGATGCCAAGCCTGGCGTTCGGTCGGGCATGTCCCCAACTGCAGGCCGATCTTCGGACGCGAGAAATGAAAAAAATAGAAGAAAAATACTCAAGAAGGATCAGAGATCGCAGAAACATCGTCCCCAGACAATTGTTGTTGGCTATTCTTGAACATTCAACCTGTAGAGGGACACGCCAGACTCAAACCTGGAGAACAAGAGGACGCTCGCTCGCGCAGCTCCACTGCCGACGCTGCACCTTCGCTCAAACGTGATGACTCTACGGGAGTGCCTGGGCTGCAAGGCCAGATCGGCATTGTAGTCGCCTGCCCGCGGTCCAATTTCCGACAAGATTGGCAAGCACGACGCTGCTCGGTCAGCGGCGACGTGTCTGGGACGCGGCAGAGCGAATTTCGCACCGCTCCAGATGGAGAAGAAAAAAGGGAAAGCGGCCACGGCCCCGGAGGGGGACACCGGAGGGGACTAAACTCTGCAGCGCATCGCGGGTGGTCCTTGCGGCCTCAGACTCCAAGAGTCGTGCGAACTGATCACAATCTGGCGAATTAAAAAACCATGCACCCCGCCAAAGCCCAGGCGGGAGCTCAAGTATTAAGAAGAATCGGTGCGGAGCTGGGGCGAGAGCCACATGTTCGCCGCCCTGTGTCCTGTGTCGCGCAGTGTGCGCCGCGTCCCATTCCAGCCACGCATGTTGCAACGGCGACGGCAAGACGTCCAGATTGGAAGGACGTTCGTTGGCTATGTCAAACCATGTTTGATGTGGGCGGGAATGCCATGCTTCCGCTTTTTCCCCAAAAACTGTTTCCAAAAAGAAAGCGAAGGAAGTGGGAGTAAATACTGCTACATTGTAAAAATAGGCGCGGGGGCGACAACAAGAACTTGAAAACGTACGGAAGCAGGAGGAAAGGAGGACGAGGAGAAGAGGCGAAGAGAGGAACACAACGCATAGTAAAAACGCCCTCCGCGAACTCCCTGCGGCACCCCGGCTAAGTCCCCTGCCCGGGAGACCAGAACCCCTGCGGAACAACTTTTCCTACACAAGCGATGTGCAGCACGACCGCGTCCTCCCAGAGCGGGACGCGCCAGTTGACTTGCCGTCGCCCGCGTGGCGGCAGCGCTCAAGCCGAGGCCGTGCTCGCCTTGGGCAGGGCCGGATCCAACTGCATGCATCAAAACGTGTGTCCCCCCCCCCCGGCTCGTCAGAACTAGATCGGGCCTGTGCCCCTACAGGGGGATTTTGGGCGAAAATTCAAAAATACTCCAAGAAAATACCACCAAAGACTCAAACATACCCAAACAATCCTCCCCTGACTTTTTCTTCGCAAAACAAAACAACTATTTTTTTTATAATTCCTCCTGTAGAGGGACAAGCCCGACTTAACGTCAGACCCGAGCATGAGAGGCGAGGTAGGCCACCCCGAGGAGCACGCGGGAGCGCCGGGGGGGCTCGATCTCTCAACGGGGCGCTGCTCGAGACACCTGCCCCCGTCTGCGCCGCGCCCGGCCCCGAAGCGCGCAGCATCCTCATGGAGGGGAAGAGGTCGCAGGGAGGAGCGAGCAAGAATGGCGAAAGACAAATATGCATAAACATCTAAATTCCAGTGTCCGCGTGGATTTCTCTGATCGGCGCTGGACCCCCCGCCCGAATCGGGACCTGGCCATGACAAGGGCGGGGAGGGCCGACAACAATCGAAGCCTGGGGCGCCCTGGACACGCAGGGGGGACTGAAGAGGTGCGCACTCGAGGATCGGGCCAGGCCGATGAGGACCGAAACTCGCGGCATCCTCGACATGGGGGGAGGCTGTCTTCGGGGGACTCGGGCTGGCCTGACACATCCTGAATACAACGAGGACCCAACCTGGAATTTCACGCGAGCTCCCGCTGCAAATATTCCACGACAACGGGGCCGCCGAACTCCAGGACGCGCTCGTCAAAAAGCGCTGGCAAGCCCGAGTTCAGGCACACTCGAGTCTTACGTTTTCCCGATCCGAGGCTCAAGTCGGGCGTGTCCCCCTACAGTGGGCTTGCGGGCGAAGATTTAAAAATACTCCCACAATGCCCCCCACATTGGCGAAAATAGTAAAAAAAAAAAAAAGTCTTCCCCCGACGACTTTGTTGCTACTTTCGAATGTTCCCCCTCTGTAGAGGGACAGGCCCGACTCCATCCGAGGCTGCCCTCCCCCGGGCTCGACCCCTAACGTGGGGCCCGGGCTCACCCCTCCTCCTCCTCCTCCTCCTCTCCTCCTCCTCCTCCTCCTCCTCCTCCTCCTCCTCCTCCTCCTGCTCCTCCTCCTCCTCCTCCCCCTCCTCCTGCTCCTCCCCCTCCTCCTCCTCCTCCTCCTCCTCCTCCCGTGGGGCCCGGGCCAACGGCTCCCTCCGGCACGCCCCTGCGGGCGGCCCTGGGCCCGGGCAGCGGCCTCCCGAGGCCGAGGGCGGCGGAGCCCCTGCCGCCGCGGGCTTCGGTGCGCGCCCCCTCCTCCACGAGGAGGACCGCCGATCGAGGACCGATGGGGACTCGAGGGTCGAGGAGGGCCGAGCAGGCGGAGGGCCTGGGCTCGGCTCAGGGAGGATCTGGCCATCGCTCGGACGTCCATTTCCCGTGCTTTTTGCGGTTTCGTGCGTGGTTCTTTCGCCGAATCATCAAGGATGCTCCTCGATGGTCCTCGCCGAAGGACAAAAAGCACACGTCCGAGCGATGCCAAGGGATCGGGGGAGCGACCCTTCTCGATATCCGGAGGGCCGCGGGCGCTCCTCCACGAGGCGCTCGAGCACGGGCATGAAGGACTGCGCGAGGTGGCAATTCTGCAGGATGATCCACTGGCCACGGTCCTCCCGGCAAAAAAGCGCGACGGGCCCCCTCCCGCCCCGGCCCCGCCCCGCCTTGCGGATGCTCCTCGTGGTGGCATCCTGCGTCTCCCCTTATCCCTGTCCGTCCTGCCTCGCCTCTATTTTCCGGTCTCATTCGCCCCCATTCCTCCTGCTCCTCCTCTTCCTCTGCCTTCCCTCTCCTCCTCCTCCC